CGGCGTCCGCGCGGGCCGAGCGGTTCCCGCGGCGCTCGGGCTCACCCCTCGCTAACTCCGCCTATTTAATCCCGGCTGCTCGCCCGCTCGGCGCGCCTCGCCTTCCTCCCGGCTCCTGCCCGCCCCTGGCGCCCGGGTGGTAGGAAACACTCCTGCCTCTAACTCGACGTGTCCGGAAAGCTCAGGCCAGTTTCCCTTTCGCTCTGCGGCCGCGGCTACCAGCGCGCGGCTCCCTCCGACCCGCGGGCTCAGCCACCCGGGGTGAGGCGCTCGGGGGCCGCGGGCCAGGCGGCGGAGCGCCGGGAGCACCATGCTGGACCCGTCTTCCAGCGAGGAGGAGTCGGACGAGGGCTTGGAAGAGGAGAGCCGCGATGTGCTGGTGGCAGCCAGCGGCTCGCAGCGAGCGCCGCCAGCCCCCGCTCGGGAAGGGCGGCGGGACGCGCCGGGGCGCTCGGGCAGCGGCGGCGCGGCCAGACCCGTGAGCCCGAGCCCCTCGGTGCTCAGCGAGGGACGGGAAGAGCCCGAGCGGCAGCTGGACGAGGAGCAGGAGCGGAGGATCCGCCTGCAGCTCTACGTGTTCGTGGTGCGGTGCATCGCCTACCCCTTCAACGCCAAGCAACCCACCGACATGGCCCGGAGGCAGCAGAAGGTGAGTTGCCCGCCGGACAGGGCGCCTCCCCGCCCCGCTTCCGCCTCCGAGGGTTTTCTCCCGAGAGAGCTCCGGGGCGCTGTCAGCTGTCAACGACTCGACGCAGGACGTGGTGGTTTTTTTGCTAGTGTTTGTGGGCGAGGGAGTCTTTAGGCAGCGGGGGAGACGACGCTGTAGCCCGCTGGGCATTTGGTGGCGGGGACGCGTCAAGCCCCTGGGTGGCAGAACCCAACAGTCTGCTGGAGTGTCGGTCGCAGCTGGCGAGCTCGGCTTTGCCCAGGTTAGGCGGCAACTCCCATCAACTTTAATTTCTAACCAGGTGCATTCCTGACCACGTCGCCGAGTGCAGCTGGCTTTGCCGAGATGCCTAGCAAGTGTGCAGCTGGGCGGGACAGGTGGCATGCGGACTGTATCGTGTTAGCTAGAGAGAAGTCTACTAGGACGGAGGTGAATGAATTAACAAAAGTTGCATTGACAAGTTTTCTAAATGGCGGTAGAACTAAGGACTTCCAATCCAAGCACGTAAGAAGCTGTGCAGTTTTGGGGAGCGCCGTGTGTAATTCCTGGTCCTCGCAGGCCCAATGAAACAATCTATCGATTAAAAAATAAAGCTTGGTGCACAACCACTTCCTAAAAGATACTCCCCTGTCTCCTCTGCCCACCCCCAACGCTAAGGAATTTACTTCAGGTGAAATGTCTTGCCAACCAGATCCCAGAGGTTTAATGATCTGTGGCAGACAAAGGTGCCCGAATTGAGGGAACACTTCAAAAGAAAGTGTCTAAGGAACCTAGTAGACTGGGTAGATATTCTGTAACAGTTCTCTTCTTTGGGAGAGAAGTTGTAGAGACCCAGAGAATTTGGAATTGGTTTAGGACCTACTTACTTAGATGCACAGATGTCAGTCTACTCCTGGGTATAACCAACATATGAGACATTTCTTAGCAATTTGGAGAGCTTTTCTGTTGACTTGGAAACACTGTAGTTCAGGGTAAATGCAGTCTTCTACCATCCCACTGACCCAACCTCTGAGAATGGGCCTACATTAAGTGCTATTTGGAATCCTCTTCTGGGCCTGAGTAGGGGATAATTCTCTCTAGCTGGCGGCTTATGATGCAGCACTTCAAGTATCTACCCCTCTAGATAATTCAGTCTTATTAGAGCTGGAAAAGATGTTGAGATTTCAGGGCAAACCCCTCTTGTGTAGCAGAGAATACATCTGAGTAGCATTTCTTGCTCTCAAGCCAATTGGCATGATTGAAGCTGCCATTATCCAGGGCAGTCTTGAGTGCCCTCAGGAGTTTTTGGAAGCCTATTTTGCTTCTGGTATGAGTCCTGTACTTCCAGACTACTTCCTGCATTGGGTTTTGTTTTGCCTTTCCCCAATTTGGTAGGTCAAGTGACTTTCATCGTAAGTAGTCAATTTTAAATTGTAATTTTTTGACATTGTAGTATGTGGTCATAGAGAGTATGGACAGCTTCCAGTCTCTAACTTTTATCATTTCTGGCATTTAAATTTAGTGTATTAAAATATAAAAGTAGAGTATGGTGACATTAAGCTTTTCCTGTTTGAAATATGATCCTTGAAGTTTGCAAAGGAGTCAGGTACTGGTAGCTGACTTATTGTGCATACTTGTTGCATTGTGCTAATACAATGAACGCTTCCCGGTTTGTTCAAACAGTCTAGATGAGATTGTTTAAATAGAATGTTTGTTTCTCCAAAATCATTTGAATTGGCAATTGGGTGCATTCACAATACAATGGAGACTAGTTAAAACCTCATCCAGGCATTACCACAAGCAACTACAAACTACAGAATAGCAAACCACTGCATAGAACTGTGCAAAAACACTGCACAGAACCATACAAAAATATTTGGAACAGTTGGCAGTCTTTTTGAGGGTACAGTCTCTTAACTCAAGTATTTTCCTTACCCCAAACTTGAAAGGGCCCCTCCCCTTTTTTTTTTTTTTTTAAATGAAGGTAGGTTGCTTACTAAAAAGAGCTGGAGCACTTCTTGGCACTTCTTGGCAGTCAGTTTTCCTCCTAGGACAAAATGAAGTAGAATTCTACTGTTCTGGTGAATTTGGTGCACAAGCCAATAATGAATGCCAAAAACTTTAAGTCTTGAAATATACAGTTGGGTTATATAAGAGCAGTAAAGGATAATTGCAAAATCACTAATCCATTGTATACTTTTATTCTGTATCTTCAAGTCAGCAGACATTTAGTAAAAGGGTTTAATAGCTTAAATTGTTGTCACTGAAATGTATATTGCTACTCACTTCTCCCAACTTTGGAAACAGAAACTCAGAAATTGAGATTTGAAATGGGTCCTCATTTTAGAAATGAAGAAAATCACTGAAATGAGAGTGTCATCTCGTCTCAGCAGTCAAGCCCTGTTAGGGCTGGTGAACCCAGCTGCAGTGTCTGTATCTTTCACTTGGCTGATGTGGCCCACAAAACTAGTATGTGTTTTGTCCATGAGTTCAAGCTTGATAACACGAAACTTATTAACTACACTTGTCTTGGCTTTTGGCCGGAGTATTTCACCTGGGAGGAATTGGTGGTCAGTTAATACCAGCCAGGGCCTCTGATTGACTACTGATGGCTATACAGGAAATTCTGGGGGTTAGTGTGGACCAGACAATAGTGACACAGCTCTGTACCCGCCTCATCACACCCCTGAGTGAACCTATACAGGGAGCACAGCTAATCAGTCAGTGATGAGGCGACTTCAGTTTTGAGTGACGCTTCAGTCTGATGCTCATTTATCTTGATTACCTCAACCTTATAAAGCTAACAGCAAAAATGAACTTTGGATGATTCTAGATCTTTGGTTAAAGATGGGATCCATGTGGAAACCAGAAAAACAATCGCACAGATGAAGCAAATCTGTTACTACTTAAAGATGATTTGTTGAACCTGGAAAACATTGAGACCCTGGGTGTTAAGCACTTAAAACAAGGGCGGGGGGGGGGGGTCCTTGCTGGTTAGGAGGGGTAAGGAGAATCGCACAGACTTAATGACCACAGAAGAGGTTAGATACTGATTCCCTGGGTTATGGGTTTGTAGACTGGCCTCAGGTTATAATTACACTCCAGCTCTGCATGCCTTAAAGTGCTAACAGTTCGGGTCTGCTGTGAACCCAAAAGCTGTGTGTGTAGGTTTCAGCCAGTTCTTGCTCTGTTCATTATCCTTGTTTTTATTACATTTAGTAAAAGATGTTGAGAAGGAGCCCAACTATTAATTTTTTTAAATTAGACATAATGAAGCAATTTCAAAGACTCAAATGGCACCTAATAACTTTCCATGTGATTTGTGTACCTGTGCCGAGCCTTTTCACGGTGCCTTATTAAACCTCTTTATAGAATCACTCCCACCACTGTTCATATTTTTCCTCACAAATTCTGAGAACTGTACACAGATAATACTGTAAGCATGCAGATGGTAGGGGAATACACTCCTTGGGTAGAATTGATCAGGAAGAGAACATTGGGGTGGGGTGGGAGTAGCACTGGGTAAAGTGCATGGGGGGGGCCCTGTCCTCACCTCCATGTGAATGTTATACTACCATGTAGGGGGCACTTTAGCCCCCTTTGGAAAGGATAGTCCATTTGGGTTTTTGTTGTTGGTTTTTTTAATTAACTACTTAGGTGCTCCCATGCTCAGGGAAAGAGCTAATTTTATAGAGAATGTGGTGCAGATTTACTGAAGATGGGAGACCAGCGTGAGGAGGCATTGAGCCTGGGTACTATGTTGCCCATCTTTGAGGCTGAAGATTCAGCATTGGCCTGATGTATTCTCAGCACGGTGCAGGGTAAGAACTTAGTGTCTGTTGGGTACACGAAGTGCCAGCTTGAGTCTATCTCAAAGAACGTGAGGCATCAAGGATGGGGGAGAAATAAAGGTTCTGTGGAAACTAATGCTCTTCATCATGTCATAGGACCTTCAGGACGCCCATCTTCTAAAGCCATACAGGTGGCGATACCTGTGGTCACAGAACTGCTGACTGCAAAGTGCCCCTGCCCCCAGCCCCTGCCAAGCCCTCGAGAGCTGTGGTGTACATGCCTCTCCCTGCACCTAGCTTTCTTGTTTGCAAGTTCCCAGCAGATCTTGTGAGTCTGAAAAAGATCTTCCTTTCAGGAAGTTAGGATAATTCAGCCTTGGGCTTTGGTACATTACAGTGCAAATATAGACAGGCTCAGTTAGATCACTTCCAGCTTCTGGTAACAAGGAAGACTTTGTCCTGTGGGCTGAAGACGTGAGTACACTCTTAGACCAGAGCATGCGCTTTTCTCTGAGATACTGTTTGCTGCTTTAGCTGGTTGAGCTTACCCTCCACAGGGTATCTTGAGCCCACAGCACTTAATTTGGTGGAATGAGTTGTGCTAATGAGAACTCAAACTGATTAAGTGATACTGGCATTTGCTGCTTCCTTCCAAAATGAAATCAGCTGTAATTTTGATATGTAATGACTGCTTATAAAGTGAAATAAAATGTTGTAATTGTGTTTTCCCTCTTCAGTTTTTTAAGCAAAACAGCTCCCTTTTTTTTAATCTATATACTCAGAAGATGAATAGCACAGCTTGTAAGATCTTAAAGACCTTCAGTACAAAATTAAATTCGACTACCAGGTTATGAAGTGAGGGAATTCTGAATGGAAAATCCAGTGCAAGGTTTTAAAAGCCTAAATGAATGTGCCCTTCTGCTATATTCATTCAATAAATTCGAGATTTGGGGGTTTTTGGTCCATGCAAGGGTGGGGGCAGGTCCGGAGTTTCTGTGCTACTTCATGGGCATTTCAAATTAAGGTGGGTTGTTTATGTCTGCGCTATTGCATTTCACTTTTAGGCTCACTTAAGACCTAAAGATTGTAAATAATGGAAATACCGTTGAACCAAATGTCATCTCCCCTAGAATTGAGTATTCAAGAGTTAACTTAAGGGATTGTCTAAAATCTATAACATCTCACTTTATGACCACCTTAAGTTACCTAAGG